GCACTTCTTACATGTACAATAATCTTACTGAGTACTTGATGCAGCCTTATTTGAAATGTCATGCCTCTGTGTTGACAATGCCTTACATACTTTTAAAAGACTGCCATTTTGAGTCTTTCAAGTATTTTCTTGATTTTTCTAATACATATTTCAAGACACTTTAATAGTTTTTTTTTCTTCCTTAATCATCTCTCTAGTAACCTGGGTAAGAGTTGGAGACTTATAAATACTTCTACTATTTCCTGTTTGCCTTTGTCTTAGAGATAGGACCAAGCTATAAGGCACAGACCAGACCTGAACTGTCAGACTCCTGAAGGATTGAGATTAGGCTGTTTAAGAAGCTTACTATGGGCTAGCCAGTTCAAAATTCCTATGCAGCTCAGGATCCAAGCTTTGAAGCATAAAGGCTTTTCAGATCCAAACCCAGCTTAGTCTAGAATATATATACTTTCAGCATAGTCATAAACTGAGTTCATCCAGGGCATTTTAAAAATAAAATCTTGCCCTTAGCCATTGTGAAAATCTACAGTGGGAGGCTACTCTAACTGAGAGCCATTCAAACAAGATATATGCCATATGTGAAAACATTTTTTTCTGGAGGGTTCAAGGACTTTTAGGGAAACAGGATTGTTTGTTTTCTCTTAATTTGTTATTCATACAGGAAAAGTGGCTCATAAATGAATTTCTCCCCCTACTTTTACTTTCATTGTAAATGCTGCCATTGTGACTAAGTTTATGCTATTATAATAAATTGCACTACAGCACAGATGCCATTTTTTTAAAAGTCTGGGTAAAATTGAATCATTGGGAACTGGTTCACTATGGTCCCTGGACAGAGGTGTCCGCAAGTACACTGCTAAGGGTTCTAAGTAAAATTGTCAACTTTTAGGGATTGCACAGCTGCCGAAACAGCACCGGGAGTAGTAGAGTGTCCAGACCATCATGCCTTCCAGGGGGGAAGTACCCAGAGTTTCCCCAGGACTCCCCTAGAGGAGGAGCAAGATCCAGATTGGTGGGATGTCAAAAGAGGAAGGTGTCATTTAGAAGCCACTTTATCAGTTTGACTTCCCTGCTACTGATGATCATTGGCTTGTTAAAACCAGTTCACCCAATGTAACAGGCTCCCTCAACAGGTACCTTCCTACAATCAACACTGGGAAGTGAACTGCCCATTCCCTTGTTTTCAATCAAGTACAGGATGGCTCCCTGCCAAGTGGTTGCTGCTTTGCATGCCCTGAATGTGCTGCTTGAGTCAATCAGGTCCCAAGAAAGGCAGTTCTGGCAGAAAATTTGTTTTTTCTACAGTACTCTCCACAGCTTTTCAGCCCCTGGAGCCTGAATCAAAGCACCCTGGAAGCACAGCCCAGCAGCTCAGAGTACGTGGAAATGCACACCCTCCAAGTCCAAATTTTACAACTTCAATGGCATCTGAAGTCAAGAAGGACAATAGCATGGGGCATGACCTGCATGCATTGTGCTGTGTAAACAACTCCCACCAGGGGAGCGGTGCTACCGGTCAAGACAGATGAGCAGTGACTGGTGGGAGTCTGCAGCAAATCAGTTTGACATGGGCAAGTCCACAGTGGGAGAGGTGGTGCAGGTGGTGTGCTTGGTGATCCAAAACAGGCTGATACCACAATTCCTCCACCTTGATAACCCACAGGAGGTTGTAGCTGAATTCAGTTGCATGGGCTTTCCTGTGTTGGTGCCACTGATGACACCCACATCATGATCCTGTCCCCTGCACACCGAGGGGGCTACATCAACCCTAATGGCATATCTTCTGTGGTGCTTCAGGTCACTGTGATCACTGGGGGAAGTTCATGCAGAAGTCACAGGACGTTCTTGTGTTGTTCCTTTTCCTTTTTCATGTCAGCGGCATAACAAGTAGACTTGACAGCCAAGGCAAATCCTACAGGAAAACAGGTAGGTGGTGCATAGTTCCAAGGAGGGAGATGGAGCAGTCTTACCCATGCCAGTTTTAGCTGCACTTAACAGTCCCCAGCTGAGCTGCTCCTGCCACCACCACATGCTCTGCCTGCCCCAGCTGTTGCTTTTAAACCAGCTGCAGCCACAGTCACCTCTTGTGGAATTCCTGCATGGATATGCTGCCGAGGTGTGGACTCCATGGGGGCGGGGGGCAATTCCAGTGCCCCTCCTAACTCGGCACCCAGGGCAGATGCCTCTCTTTCCCACCCCTAATTATGCCACTGTATGGCAGTGGGAGAGGCAGGGGGGGACCTCTGTATCCTTGCCATCTTCCCGGTTGTCGTCCAAGTGGATACAGTTGGCCATGTTGACACTGTACTGGGACTAAATGGAATCATCCCCCACGAGAGATTGGGAAAGTTCTTCATAAGCAGTGGTGACCCATAATCATGGCATCCTGTGCCCTCCTATACCGCAGCTTGAGGATCTTGGTCTTCTCTCCCAATTCTGCTGATATCCATGAGCAGCCAGCCATCTCTACAAAAATCCACTCAAACACATCTTTGTTTCAGTGCCTTGAGGAGAGTTGCTCTTTGTGAAGAATTCCCCCTTTCTTCGCCACTCACTCGGGACAAACCAGGTGACCCCTGTATCTCCTGGGTTTCTTCTTGGTACTGGCTGGTCAATCAGGTGACCTGGCCAGATAATATTCCTAGGCGGAAGGGAGTCCCCTCTCTTCCTCCGGTGAGCATTTTGAAAAGCAACATGCCTCCAAGCTCCTGCTTGGATGATTCTCTGTAACGAAAAACCTGGAAACTAGCCAGAAGTCTAGAAATAAGTATAGGCTGTTGCATCTTAAAAGGATCATTGTATCCAATGTCTGCAAAGGCTCAACCTCCTTTTGTTTGTTCAAAAGTATATTCTGACTTCCTTGTTCTACCCCCAATAAAGGTATTAGGTTACAGTGTGCCTGGCTGTTGATTAGTGGGGAGAGGCAGGCCTTCTGCTCCCTTTGTTTGGACAGTGAATTTGGGCTGAAAGAAGCACCCCAAAATATTACTGTGGGCAAAGCACCCCCAAATCTTGCAGGGTGTGTGTGCCCCAGGCTGCAGAGAGCCCTACCAGAGACCAGTGGCCCAGGTGATGGCAGTGTTACCACAGGCTTGCAGATGTTCTCCAGGAAGGAGGCAGGCTGGCTGTAGGCTCCCAAGGGGAGACTCCCAAAGCATGGTTTTGGGCCTGACAGTGAGGTGCGTGACTGCATAGTAGCACCCCCTACTGTGCCACCACACTCTTTAGCCCAAATAGGGAGCAGGCTGAGCACCTCTTTCCAGTCCCGGTTGCCTAGAGGAATATGATGCTGAACCAGATGTCTCAACCTGCTAGGGGCACCATGGGGTGTCCACTAGTTCTAGTTACCAGGAGCTCCCAGTAGTTCCAGTTACTCAGCAGCACTGCAAGAACTATGCCATTCAGTGAATGGTAGATTCTTGGAAGTGCAATATCCCTGAACATCTCTGTCATGTCCCTGTCCAGCTACTGTGGCACAAGATGAGCAACCTCAAGACAATCATCTGTTATGGGCTTGGTCAAATGACCAAGTGGTAGTAGGGTTCTGACCAGTTACCAGAACTTCATGAATCACTGTGCAATGGCTTGATGGATGTGAATTGGTTAGTTAATTGTTGTTCCTACCCTGTACACCTCTGCCACCTGCCTGGCCCCACAAGTTCTACCCTGACAACACGTCTTCATGCAATTGCATACAATAAAAGTTTGAGTATTTTCAGGTAGTCCAGACCCACCTGAGCACCCCACTTCTACAGTCACTTCTATATTAGCCTGGGGGAACCCCTGAGCAGGGTCCAAGGAATGGAAATGAAATTGATGTGGCAGTTTTCCAGGGTAGGGCTTGCAAAGAAATGGAGTTCTTGGGTGGGGGGAAGCATCCAGCCTTTAGAAACCACAAGCAGGGGGGCACACTGCTCCCCCAACACCTGGCTACCCCTCTACTCCCACACCCTTGCCCCAAATGAGCCTGGGGCCTTGCAGCACAGAGATCCTAACAGGGAAATGAAATCAGTGAAGTGGCTTTGCAGGGCAAAGATTGAAAAGCCGCAGAATTCTTGGGGGGGCCCTGAGCATCCAGGCCCCTGGAACCACAAGTAGGGGGCTACATAGCCCCCCACCACACACATCTGGAAAAACTCCTGCACTGCTAACTCCCCACCCTGAATAAGACTAGGACCCAGCAGTGTACCTAGACTCCTGGTGGCCCCGGGTGAATTTTTAGTATTGAGCCCCCCTTCCCCAGAGATAACGATAATAATAATAATTATTTTCACCATTTTCAGGCCCCTTTCAGTCCAGGCCTTGGGCAGCTACCCCATTCACCCATGCCTGTGTCTGGCCCTGCTGGGATCCCTTGGTGCCAGGTCCAAAGCAGGGGCAGTAGTTTTCCAGGGCAGGGTTTGGAAAGGCCACAGAGTTCTTGTGGTGGTGGGGAGTGGGGGGCAGAAGGGAGGGGGAGCTGGAGCCTCCAGCCCCCAGGAACCATAAACAAGGGGCCACACAACCTCCACATAGCAGGGGTCCCACTTTAAGTGTCTCCCTTATCCCCAATTTAGCCCAGGACCCCATCCCCCTCCCTTCTCCCCCCAGGTCCATAGCAGTGAAGTGAAAACAACACAAAGGCCTTCTGCTTCCCCATCCCTGAGGACTGCGGTGTGTGTAGACAACAGGTCTTTGGGCAGTACAGTCTTGGCTGCAACCCTGAGCAGCCCATTGCCCTGCATGGGTTGGGGAAGATGGAGTCTGAGAAGTGGTTGAGTTTGGGGTGCCTGGAAGACTGACCAGATACTAAGCCTGGAATGCTCTGTGTCCACACACAACAATGAAATGGTTCACAAAAGACCAGTTCAAAAATAGTACTTGATTTTCCTAGTTTAGTCTTGAAAAAAATCCAGGAAGTTTAAATCTTTCTTAAGTGCCATGTATGTCTGGATTCTTGGGGTTTAAAGTGCATTTAGAATGTTCTTAGTGTTGCATCTGTCCACACCCTAGAGACTAACCTTCTGTCTCTCACCAAGATCTTGATTGTCTTTAGCTGTAAATTCACAAGCAGAAGCTTCCATGTCCTGGAAAAAAATATATTGAATGTGCGTTATTCTCAAGGTTTATGACCATGCTACCAGTAATAGCATTTAGTCTCAACAGTGAATATTAATATGGCTGCTATTTTGTGGTAGCTATTTCCTAAACAGTCCAATCAACTACAGTAGAAACGAATAATGAAAAAAAAAACACCCAACCCCTAATGTCTTCAGTTCTGCAACACTTACTTGGTACACAGAAAATGAATGGTTGACTTGTCCCTCTGAATAAAAATTCTTAGAGTTGGTTGAAAATAAAGGAAAACATTTTATCATTTTCCCCTCCATAATTCACTCCTTTTTGAAATTTAAAAAATATTGAATTTTAAAGCCTGTAAAAAAAGAATTAAGCCAATTTGTAACTATTTAATAGAGGGGAAAATTTTAAGACAGCTGTGTCAGATTTTATTTCAAATGTCAAAAAATTCATGGATATTTGGTGTAGCTCTAAACAAGCCAAGAATATTTACCAATTCCATAGCATCTATTAACCAAGAATTTTAAATGTCTTTAAAAATCTTCTATTTTTATATCATCCCCATAAGGTAAGTGTTATTATACATATTTTTAAAATGAGGAAAGTGAGGCACAGAAAAGTAATTTGTCCATGAGCATATAATAAGTCATATATTGGGACTGGAACCCAAACATGTAGATTTCTAGTCCTCTCCTTAACTTTGATTCTGAAAGCCTTGCAGAAGAGAAATATTTCTGTATTTCATAGCTGTAGCCACTCGATAGAATTTGAAGGGAGGAGCACAGTTTACAGAACAGAAGAATTTCAAGGATACTCCAGGAAATCAAGTAGCATGTACATGGTTGGAGCACCTGCTGCTATTGTAACACTTAATTGTTCTCTTAATAAAGCCCCACTTTAAGTTTTAGAAACAGACTCTTCATGGTTTTACCCAGAACCTAGCATAGAAAACAACAGTTTTCTGAGTCTGGGGACAGCATCTTCCCTGAGATTTTCAAATATATGAAGCAGCGTCAAGAATTATGGGCAGGATTTTCAAGCGTTTAAGTGACCATCACAATTATTTAAATGCTTTTGAACACCCTTGTCCATATACATCGGTCCTTAATATAGTTATATCAATGGTACACACTGTGGCTAAAGAATGAGAGTAAATAGCCAAGTACACAAACTGTATCTCTTCTGATGAAGAATGCACCCAGTATTCTTGTACTCTTGACAGATAAAGTTAATTGTCACTGAAAGTATTTGTTGGCATTTTGTGTATGGATAATTTATAAGAGATTTTAAAACCAAACAAAAGGCAATCTAAATAAAAGACAACCAGAGAAGGCAAGGCATTTTCCCAATTTTGGCTGCACTGGTCAAGGATCAGTGCCAGTTTCTGTTCAGGCTCATCCCTAAAAGTGAATACATCCAGACTTGAAAGAACTGTTTCATACAAAGAGCTATGTACATGTGGGGTCAGCTGGTTATTGGTCACAGCGTGAGAATGACGGAGTCGAATTCTGTGACCTGTGTTCTGCAGGAGGTCGGACTAAAATGATCATAATGGCACATTTTTGGCCTTCAACGTTTTGAATTGTTCAGAGTAGCAGGTTAAAACAGAGAAAAGACAGTACTGCAAGTTCAAAAGAGAGCAGCATTTGTTTCTGAACAGATAAGTGAAGGAACTGGTGAAAAAAGAAACAGGTGGTATTAGAAAGGGGCATCATCTAAAAAAGGCAGACCTGCTGGGCAGCATGCTTGTTATATACCTTTATATCATTCTGCATTCTTATGAACACACATTACTTGGATTAATTTCATAAAAACAAATCATATTGCCTCAAACGCAGCTTGTTGGTTTCAACAATTCACTTTTACAATTATTCACTAAACTACCTTGATTTAATTATTACAGGAGAATCTCAACACCGCTGATAACTATTTAATTAAAAACACAACTATGGAGCAATAATGCAGACGCATCATATTGTACTAGAATAGGTTCCTTGCGGAAAACACACTCAATTCATTTTACTGGCTTAATTTGACACCATAGGTAAAATTCAGGAGAATTTAAAGATGACATGGGTAAGGTATGAGCCGGGGGCTGCAGACAGTAGTCATGAGCTACTTCTTCTTTGCGTTCTGTGTAATTTAGGCAGTACCAAGGTAAAGAAGAGCATTGCCTTGGGCAACAAGGGCAGAGCTAGTGTCACTCATTGTATAGAACAGATAAGCCTTGGCTGCAAGGAATAAGGGGAATTCTTCATAGAAGCTGCCAGAAACAAGCAGGCCTCTGAGAAGCCTCACTCTGCTGCTGCAGCTGTTGTTGCTTTGTTTCATCTGTGGCTTCAATTCCCATTGCCCGCTCCTACAGCCATTTTCACCTATGGAGAATACACTTTGACGAGGTGTAAAGCATTCCACAGGTGCAAGGCAGGAGCAAACCAGGTCATAATCCAATTCAAGTCCGACTGACTCTTAGCTCAATGATGCTGTGCTGGATTTCACCACGGAGTTGGTTTTCAGTGGCTGTGAAAGTGCAGCCTTAGCAAACAATTGAAAAGCTTTTGCTTAGCCTGCGAAGGTCCCTGGATCAAGTCCTGTACAAGCCCCCTTGAAGTCTCAGATCAAGCGTAGTGGCTTCTTAACCTGGCAGGGGAAATACCATGCATCTGTGTCCAAGAAGGCAGTTTTCCTGAACTGCACCCCAGGAGAACTGCTCTTCTGGAGTGGTTCAGGACCTGCCGAAGTGCAGCAGCATTAAGCCCGCTTTATGGAAATGGGAGTCTCCTTGCTAGCTTGCTTGGGAGGGCTTATAGCTAAGGGCAGGCAAAACCTGGGTGCATCCAAACCCCATGCCTCCAGGCTTGGGCCTGCACATAAGATGCCCGTCAAAGATTTTGGAAATATCTGAAGCCCCAGGCGTGGGTAGAGGATGTTTGCCGGTGGTAGGGCCACTTATGGTTCTGGACTCTTGAATTTGGAATTAGTTTTGGCTAATTTGGCCTCAGATACAAATTTAAAAAAAAAGTCCTTATGCTGGCTCCTTTCATAAGTGTTAAATTCAGTTCAAAACCTTTGAATTACAAGGTACAGAACATTAGCCCTTAGATAGCAAGGTAGGCTATTATCTAGAACAAAACTGTATTCCAGAAATACTGACCCTGGACAATTAGCTAAGATTAGAACAATTCCTATGGTCATAGGCCTTGGATTTTTAGCAGATTGGGAGTAAGGGGGGATTATATAAGGAAATCTGGAGATAAAATAGTTACCTCCCTCCCTCCATTTTACAAACCAGGATCCCTGAAAGAACCAATGTGGTTTGTTGTAAATATGCTTCTGTAGTGCTCGATGGAAGGGACACAGAGCCATGATCAAGCTAATCGCTGTTTCAAGACAGACAGGATCTTTTCTAGGAAAAAAAACTGTAATTGCCTGTTATGAGACAGACTGGGTATTAAGAGGCAATTACAGACACCAGGACTATACGTACAGCTCTCTGATAGCACCCACTAGATTTTAACTGTGCCAGTTGGTGCTGGCAAGAAGATGTAGGGAAGTGGAGACTTCTATATTGCTAGGATGTCATTTTCTATTATTCTTTAAAACATCTGTCCTTCTCACTAACTAGGGTGTATCAACGTCTTTGTTTTTAATACATCTTTAATACTGCTGAAACCAACAAAAAAAATTAAAACGACTGCCTTCTTGAATATTATCTTCCCAGTTTGTTGTGCCCCCTCTCCCCTTCCCTTCCTGGAGAGACCAACCATCACATGAAAATGCTTTTCATCATCTGCAAAATTTGATGCCCAAAATAGCCCCATGGTTGCCCTAGCAACGAGCATTTATTCCCCCCTCCCCGACCCCCCCTATGCATATTGCTGCATATTTCTATCATCTCTTTCCAGGCACAGTTCATAAACACGGCTGCATAATAAAGAACGTTATCACCAATGACTTACAGCCCAGCTGCTGCAAATAAGATATGAAGTGGCAGGGAAATACAATTTCATGCAGCTAGGACAACAGATTGATTGGGTGCCCTTCAAATTTGATGCCACTTCTTTAAGTCTGTCCAAATTCAAAAAAAAAAAAAAGTCGGTTTCCCTCCACCTTCCCCATCTTTTCCTGGTAGCAACAGACAAGAAAAGCAAGAGATAATTCACAGGGATGCTCATTATGGCTATAGCAACCTTGCCCTCAGACACTGACAATTCATTGAGAGGTGCTCCTTCTCCCCTAACTTAACCACGTTAAACCCTTCCCCACCCGTCTTTCTTATCAAACACCTTACTCCTCTAGCTTGGTCACTTTTTAAATATTCTTCCATTTCGAATTATTATTCTCATTCAGATTATAATCAGGAGCACTGTCATAGATGGAGATAAAACAAAATCCTGAATTTTCACTTCTACTACTCCAAAGTCTAAAATTTTTAAGAGCAATATAAAAACCATGGTTTACCCCGGCCAATTGAAAGAGCTCTGGGGACATCAGCATGATCAAAGGGAGGAAGGTTTCCAGTTCCAGGATGGGCAGACTTCCAAGGGTGGTTTGGAGCTTTAGTTTGAAGGTGTACCTGAAGCCAGGGTGGTCACTCTGGTGCTTTGCAACACTGTAGCATGGTACTGAGAGCAAACTGACTTCTAGCAAAGCCTTCCTCTACCTTTTAGCTGCCTCTCATTTCTCTCCCCTTCTTACTTGCTATCTTCTGTCCCCTTACAGGAAAGAAATAGGAGAAGGCAGAGCTTAGGCTTTGTCTAAAGGAAATTTTATAGGCATATTA